TATAAGTTTTCAAATTCCACCTCCATATCCAACTGGTTCGATCTCCTATTCGGACAACAACGGCAGAAGCGGTAGGCATTCGTCTGCACAAACCCCCTCTGTGTGTCCAAAAACAATTTGTGCAAGCGCTTAAGCTTCCCTGGCCCACCCCCCATACAAACCGCATCGTGAGTAATCTCGATGGTCGGATGAGTGGACAGACAAACATGTGATCGTGGTGAACCCGATTTCCGGTCTCACGATGAAATCGGTTTTAGTAATCTGTTTTTATTTTATTTTATTTTCCCATGACAATTTTATTCCCAAGTAGTGATATATATTGAGATGTATTGGCATGAATACGAATCTCTGAAAACGAGCTTGTTCGCCACTCTGTTGTTTTGGTTTGAAATAGTTTCCAAATATCCAGTTCCAAAGTTCAAACGAGTTTGCTCGAGCACCTTCTTGCGAGGGGAAAATTGTCTTGGCCACCGAATATCTCAATTTTGCCTTGTTTTAATTTTTGCCAGTAATTTGCCGCATTCATTATGTTTCAAATGTACCTGCTGTGGTCCAGCTAAATTCGATCGATAGCCAGTTTGCTCAATGAGTTCAGCGAACTTTGCGTTTGCAAAACGGACTGTGACCGGACGATAGAGACAGTTTATCAGCTTAGGTCATTACCGATATGCTTCGTAATCTAAAACTAATTGATCACAGTCAACGATCAGATGGGTGACGAATGCTGTGATATTCATGGCTTGTTTTATAAGAAGAAAACAAGCAGTATTCAATCATTTCGTGACGTGACTCAGAATCCTTTACATATCATCCACCCAGATGTCATTCGGAGGTAACTGAAACCTGAATTTACAAATAGATAGGCAAAGTAAGGGATCTGGGGAACTCGTCGGTAGGTTATCTGACCCCCCATTTCGTACAAATTTCAAAGAATCGCGTGCAATACATGTAACGCATGAGGGAAATTCGATTTCATTTTTATAAAGCTTCAAACTTGCAAAACGGTCAATCCGGCCTGGCAACACTTCGTTGATCTCTGTTCAGTAGATTGAGTCATCGAAGCTCACTTACAGATTTGAGATAAAATAGAAAGCTAAAATTGCACAATGGGTCACACGATCACAGACGAGGAAATGTGCTCAAATACATATAGGCAATTATGGTTAAGTTTATAGTGTGATACCCTGAGTTAAGCTTTAGACACTTTGTACGAATTGTAATGTGACTAGCATCGTCAGTCACTCCCCGCCACACACAATCACGCAGTGGGCGAATGCTTCCGTTTATCTGCACACGTACATATCTACTCCACCGTCAGACTACTGTGAGATAGATGGTGTTTTTTCTGCTGGGATCCAGACGCCACCTGCTTAACGTTCCTTCCTCGGATGAAGGCCAACTGATGTGTGTGTCCACTTTCAGAAGAAACTATCAATTATTTTCTAATGGATGATTTTAAAAGTATCTTTCGTCCCATTCATGTCAGAGTATTCAGTGAACAGTACGAATTTAATTAGAAAAAGCCGTATGTCACAAAAGTACATTGGGATTTCAGGATTTCAAGCTCCGTCGATAAAGCGTCATCTATCTGGATGTGTGGAATTTCGAAGATCATGATCAGACCGAGAGCAGATATCTCGTTCGCAAGCAGAACAGTAGTGGAAGCGAACAGATAGATGATCATAGCATGAAATTGTATGTGACACTGAAACTCACACATAAGAGTGTAACGCGTTGAACGTTATTCCTAGTTGGATACTGATCAGTAGTCATTCAAACAGAAAATAAATCAGAATAGTTTATTTAAACAATTATCGATGGTTGCATAAATCATTCACCATCAGCTGGTGTTATTTTGTACTTGATCATGTGATAGATAAGTGACACATCGAGTGCGCGCGGGAGAAATAGAGTTTCACTGGTTGGGTTATTGGGATAACCAGAAAAAATATCAGTCGAACGAAGGGTTGCTTACTCAGAAGAAGCCGATCATGAGTTGACTTTGAAAATTAGTCGACTGACACACGCACGCACGCACGCACGCAGAAAGACAGACAGATAGACAGACAGACAAACAGCCAAACAAAACAAATAGGCACGTGAAACACGCATATTTAGACAAACAGGATTATGAAAAGAAAGCCGGGGAGTATATATTAAATAAGTTGACGATAGTTTAAAGGAAGAGGACAAAGTGCTCTTTTGAAAATCATAGAAAATCGGAAAAAGCAGTTCGTGTGCACTGATTTGTATGCGGCAGTGAATGAGATCAAGTAACCAGAGTGGGGAAAGAGAGAGATCAAGTACATATCTGCGTGTGTATGTATGTATGTGTGTGCGTGTGTACGCGTGTTGCGTGCAGTTCGGCCAACGAAGAGAAGACAAATATATAAATGCAGCGATAGAGTGGGAGTGTATTGCCACAGAAAGCTTTAGAAAAAATGTATTGTAAGCGCATCGTTGTTATCTGATACCAGTGCGGATATTCTGGACACAAAACAGGGATTAGGACAAAAGGGTAGTGGGTAAATTCAAAGTAGATGCTGATGGGAATATCGATGATGATCAGTGGACGTACAACACGAATAAGACAGTCAGCCATGGGAACAAAAAGCATGCCAGAAGACGGTTCGATGCTGGTTTTCACAATGTGGCCTTGGAGACAATGAATAAGTTATTTAAAGTACCATCACCAGAATGCTTGTGTGTGCATATGCGTTTCTTTGTGTGTATGTTTTTTCTCGTATTAATAACTCCAGACACAACCGAGCACACATGCGCACATGCAACCACACGTGTGTGTGTGGGCGCGCGCGCATGACGTCATCAAATGGATTGATTTCTTTCATAAAATCAAAGACCGGGGTATTAGGTACTGTCTCAGCGTCGTCGTCGTCAGGCTATAGCGAACGCCAAGAACGATCATCTGGCGATCTGTTCCTATTAGCTCTTCTCTGGCATTTCTTGCAATGTGTGCCACTGCGCAATCGGACGACGTGGATTGGACAGCATATCGGACCAGTGACGTAGGGCAGCTCCAGTGGCATTACAACCGAGTACGACGCGGCCTATCGGTTCGGAAGTACCAATCCGATCATAGTCCACTACCGTAACGATCAAATTGACTTTCTGTTTTTTCGAGGAAATGATAGGGGTGTCGGGTGGGTGGGGGCGAGTATGTATAGCGATTTTTTATTATATTTTGTAAATAATCATTCTAAAAATTAACTGTTATATTCTATCATTTTCCTGTTGTTGCTATGAGCACGGAAAAATCTGCACTGATATGAGGGAGTTGAACAAAAGCAAAGATCGTTATGTTTGGTTCTAGTTTACATAATACTCACGCTTGCTTCAGAAACACATCAACGGTGCTTTCAATAAGGCGGTGATAAACTATGCAATAGTCCCACTAACTCAAACCCCTAAACATAATGGTCATCATCATCATTGGACAGTCAAATAAATTGAGGCAAACTTCAATGATTTCTGCCAAACTCGCAACATAGACGAAGTAAGCGTAACTTTGTAAGGCGGATAAATTGAGGCAGGTGAGAAAGAAAGGTGAGCATATACAATCAACATACAGACTGCATAGTTGCACCGCACCCACAAACACACATGCACACCGCACTGGGCCTTCTGATCTGGTAAAAATGGACAACAAGCATATCACTGCTCTCAGTACATTGCCAGGTCGTTCACTGTCTCTAAACAACCAGCTACCAATCGTTTAAACCTTTGCCTGTATGGTGAGAGGCACCAACTCTACCTCGTGGTTTTGTGCACTTCATTATGCACCGTTTTCACTTTATCCATGGATCTCCACATTCATTGTTTGGTCTGCAAGCAACCATCTGTAATCAGTATCAACCGTATCA